TCAATTACAAAATTTGGAATTTGACAAAAAGTTGTCAATTACAAAATTTTTTTTTCAATTTCTTGCATAATTTGAGCGTTCCAGAGTTTAGGGAAAATGTTGATATTTTTGTTGGCTACGGTAAATGAAAGGCATACCATAAAAGGAGCCGTTAGCATTCTTATAGAGTACTTTCCAATGTTTCAACTTTGAGCCTACGTATCTCATTTCTTGTAAAAGATATCAAAAAGTAATCAACTGGAAGTATGTTCATCATTTTATCATCAATATTTTGCCAGTTGACTGTTTTTTGTTATCTTTACCAAAGACTGAGATAATTAAGCTCAAAGTTCAGAGTTCGGAGTATAGTTCTATTGGTGAGCGTTAGAAAAACCGAAATCCTAGTTTATATGTCAACTAAAAAGTCGAGTGTTCTAGTTTCACAAAACTTTGCGTATCAGAATTTTTCTCTAGGTACTTCAAAAAACCGAAAAATTTAAAAACCTCATTTTTCAATGGTGACATTTTCAAAATCCTAAATTCAGCTTTCAATTTCCTAAAGCACGCGATTCTGTTTTCATTTTCTGCCTTAGAATCCATTCTAATCAATTCATGAAAATTAGAGCGTAAAAAATCCATCTAAAATGAATTCGGAACACCGCTCAATGCCACGCATAAAAACATTCATACATAAAAAAAAAACAAATTCCATCGAATCTGTGTTGTTATTCCAAAACCTCAACACCGCCGGACCACTGGCTCCCCCGCCTCCACTTTTCTATTGCTTTCTTGTTTTTATTAGCATTTCGAATACCACGCCACACGACTCATTTCCGTTATTCTGAGTATGTTCTGTTCTGGTCACTTGAAAAAAAGCTACAGTAGCTTTGAAGTTTGATTTCTTGGGATATTTTTAGCAACATTTTTCTCCAATATTTTGGCTTATATCAGGTTCTCACACCTCTTCTGAATCCCTTCAGAATTCTCTAGGATCCGATCATATTCTTTTCACACGATCCGGTGCGCATAAATGCCAAAATAGATACTAAGTTTCACATGACGCTGGCTCGTCACCTCTTTTCTTGGCAACTTATTTTTCACGCTTTTTCTTCTTCAGATCATTTCTCCTCTAATCTCAATCTTTGGAAAAATGTTTATAATTTTTTTACAAAAAGGATGAAAGAAGCTTTAGTTTGCTCTAGCACCAAAACCCTGATTCAAAGGGATGAAATATAAATATAAATCCATCTGGTCAATGGAATTTTGGTGGCTTTAAATAAATTGAAAATCATTCAGGATGTGTGTGATTTGGATTTTGGTTTGAAAATAGCTTTAGTTAGCAATTTCCGATTGGAAAATGAGTTTATTTTTTTAAATTTTCAAGTGCTTTTCTGAAGTCTCTTGGTTTTTGTTGTCCTCTAGTTATCCTTCCAGAATTCACATTCCTTCAAATATGATTTCATCCAGTATATATTCTAAAAATGAAGTTAGTTCCGATTCGAATCGGAAGCCAACTTTGGAAAAATCACGCATCCTTCTTCTTCTTCCACTTTGACCTGGAATACACACCACATCTAATTATTCACCTTTCAATCCCCATTTTCTATTTTCATCCACTCCAAACTCCAGTGTTACCTATGCGTTGGCAGAATGCAAGGTTCATTACCCTCTATTCAGATAATCTTCATTTTTGCACGCGTTTTCTTTTTTCTCTTTTTTCTCGATCCCATAATGAAGAAGTATGCATACTGCTGCACAAAAGAGATGAGACATAACCTTCTTCTAAAGAGAGAGGATTTTCTCGGCACAAGAGGGAAAAGTCGCACTGTGTGCGAAATTGGATTTTGGTTTGAGTTCGTGAGACTTCTGAGGGGATTTTTTTTGGCTTTCTCACAGCGCCTCCCTTTTCGCAACTCTTGTTTAAGTTCCTCAGTTTTTAGGTCCGAAAATAGATTTCAAAAAGAATTTTGTTGAAGTTTTGTGTTCCTTCCAAGAAAGTGGATTTTTGAATCTTTCAAGGATTATTCTCGTTGTCTGGTTTTTTTTGAAGACGCAACAGCAAACTACTGTATTCTTTGAGCCTATTTTGAAAGTTACATTCCGATTTTCTTGATTTTTTAACAATTTTCACCATTATGTTAAAGATTTTCATAATTTTAATTCATATTTTCTGATTTACATTGAGAACGGAGAAAATCGTAAAAAATTGAGACAATAGAAATGTATCATTTCAAACAAGCTCTAGGAGTACGGTAGTCCGCTTTTGCGTCTTTAATGTTGAATTTCTATTTTTCTGATTTTTCTGATTTTTCTACAATTTTCTTCGTTTTTTTTCAATGCAAATCGGAAGAAAATGAATTCAAGTGATGAAAAAATTTGAAAATTGGCTAATAGTATACGGTAGTAATAGAACATGGTAAGTCAGAACTACAGTATTCTTTGAGCTTATGTTAAAAGCTATATTCCTATTCACTTGGTTTTTCGATGATTTTAAGCATTTTGATGCATTTTTTTCTACTCTTAACATTGAAACAACGATAAAAGCTTAAACAATACGATAATTCACTATTTTGCCTTTAAGAAAAAACTTTCATAAGATATCAGCTCTCAACCTTTTTTATCACCATAATTCTATAGATAAACTAATTGGAATCGTAAAAAATCATACAACTCAAATTAAAAGAACTTTCTCAGAAAAAATCTTTGTTCTCTGCTAGCTAGAACCCCATTTCCCCACACGTCATCCCATTTAATTAAAACACTCTCTTTTTCCTCTCCTAGCGTCATTTGTTCGCTTTTCCGACCTTTGGCTAGTTTTCTGGAGAATGATTCATCATTTTTTCTGCTATTTACCTACTACTAGCATATTCTAGATTCTCCTTTAACAGTCTCTAGAAAGTGTGAGCCCCTAAATGCCTAGCCGCCGCCAACGCAGATTTGTTATATTCTCGTTTGCATTCTTGATAGGATTGGTGGGCACACACACACACACACACACACACACCACGGTACTCGTTAATAAGAAACGAGGATTGGATATGGAGGAAAGGAGAATTAAAAATAGCGATGGAGGACCCAAAAGTAAATATGAAAGGGAATAGAATCATCTAGCCCTTCTATTGTTCTAAAATTGGAATTTAGCATCATACATTGCTCATTGGTGTTCTCAAATGGCGTTTCAAAGTTTATTTTTCTTGTTTCCTATTGTTTAAGATGAGAAGACGTGAAACTTTAGGCCAAAAGTCATCTCTTAACATCCCACAACTGTTCTAAAATTCAAAAATCCCATGAAACCTGTGTGTAGCAAAAATTCTTGAAAAATTCATAAAAACATCAATCCGAGTGCAGCACACTCAAAGTATCCAGACCATCCCTCCAAAGCTCCCCATTTTCATGACACACAACACAAATAAAATTGCCGAGCTCAGAGCCATATGTCCCCTGAACAACGATTGCTTCTTGAATTTTGGGATTTTCGAATCTCCCAGACGATTCTAATTAGACATTTCGCATTTCACTCATTTTTGTTCCATCACCACCCGCATTTCAATGAGAGAAGGTCCCATTTTTGCTGGTTTTTTTTTCTGAATCCAGAATCCAGAGGTCATAATACATTAACATCCTCTTAATTGAACTTTGAGTCAATTTATCTAGGTTCCTGTCAAAGTTATAAAATAGTTATCAACTGATGAATCCTTTATCATAATCTCACAAACATTTTATCTGTTAGCAGGTTTCTGATATCTTGCATAGAAATTGAGATAATTGAGCTCAAAGTTGACAGTGTAGGGGCCCTACTATTACAGGTTGTACGGTAAGTGCATAATTATCTAATTTTAAATACAAGTTTTGCTAATGTTCCACCTAAAACTATGATTTTTGATTTAAAAAAAAAGGAATTTTTCATTACATAGTTCTTGTGAAAATTTAGTTGAAAAGTCATTTTCCGACTTTGAGTACATTGGAAATCATTTTAACATTTTCAAGCTCTCACTTTCCTTTTGGAGAACAATTCAGTCGATTTTTGAAAAGAAATCATTTATGAATATGGCTTCAGAATTCTGGAGTCCAGCCAATTCCAGTTTCTAAATTTGGATATTCATAAGTACTCTAGGTATAAAGTGTTTGATGTCATATCATATTTCAGCGGCCGCAACAAAAATGGATACCGAGCTATTAATTTTTTTTTCTTTCTTTCATTTTTTCTCAGGTTCTCAGAATTCAACACGATCAAACTACCGTAGTAGTCGTAATAGAATGCCTTTCTTACTTCAAACTTTGTGTCAACTTTTCTCAATTCCTGTGAAAGATATCAAAAAATTGTCAATTGATAAATTGTTTTTCATAATCTCACAAACCTTTTTGCAGTTGACCGATTTTTGATATTTTCTATATGAGCCGAGAGAATGAAGTTTGAATTCGACTGTATGGGGCCCTCCAATTCATGTTTGTTTAGCTTCTCCATTTTTCGAAACTTTCAAAAACCAGTAGGTGCAATGAAGGAGAAAAACGCATCCGACTCATCACGCTCTCACAAATTAGACTAATAATCCATCCTAAACTTTGAAGCGTTGCGGGAAAAAAATCTTGTTTTTTTGTAGGTATCACATGTGACCCGTGTGCAGATAGATACAATTATAAAACATGCAAAAAAAACTAGGAGTAGATTTTTGCTCTTTATATATATAGATGTGTCTCTTTAGCCTTCGCGCATGGCTCAAGTTTCAATACTCACTTTTTTTACCACTTACTCAGTTCATTCATTTTTATGAATATCATCATACCCACTTTTTTAGAAACAGAAGACGCATTCATTGACGTAATGATGTCATTTGGATTCACCAAAGAATGGAATCTGGTTTAAAATTCAACAAGCCTATCAAAGTAATCGAATTCCTTCCACGCTGATTCTGTTTCTGACACTTGTTTTTTTTTCCTTTTCCTTGTTTCCAGGCTTTTCTTCTGGACCTTTTTTCTTATTTTTTTCACTTGTTGCACTTTTGCAAAAATTGTGTTCCAGCATGAATTCGACGGAGGTGGTGGCGACAAACGCCACAAAACCGTTTGACGAGAACTTCACATTAGGAGAAACTGCGTTTTATGTGAGCTGTGGTGTTGTCGGAACGCTGTTCAACTCAATTGTGCTATGGATCGCGCTCAGATACATCAATACGGAAGACAAACCGAGACAAGTATGTTTGTTTCTTTTTTTTTTGAAAAATAGCTGGAACCGGAAATGAATATAAATTGAGCAGAAAAAATGATGCTTCCTCGTCTTGTTTTGTTTTTTTTCGGTTATTTTTTTCGGCAGCAGTATGACAGACACCAGATAGAAATGCAATTTCCAGATCATCGTGATTAACATGACAGTGGCGGATCTTTTGATGTGCATCGTCTACATGAAAACGCGTCCATGGCTGAAATACTTTGATCCACACCTCTGCCATCCCTACTATCTGATCATATGGACGTGTCAAATGTGTAGTTGTCTGAATCTCGTTTGGTAGGGGAAAAAACTAAAGGGGATGAGGATGTGATGTGATTCTCTTTCAGGTTGAATGTCGACAAGCTCATCTACATTCAATTTCCGCTGCATTACTATCAAATTGTCAACCGGACGAGGCTATTATGGGTGTCAGCTGCAACGTGGATCGGGTTGATTGCACTCAACATTGCGCTTGTTAGCTTTCTGCAAGTTAATGTAAGAGTGACAATCAAAAAGAGCAAACTTTTCGTCGTAGAATTACTGTAGGAAGAAGATCTTTAAATTAGACACAGTGCCGGTGGATAAGAAATATTTGTATGTTTTTATTTGATTTTGTCCATTTCCAGGAGTCTGGTACTCGGCTGCCAAGTGTCTGTGCACCTTGAAAATGCTGAAAGGTGTAAAACAGACCTAGATTGAAAAAAATTTAGATTTACAGGATTTATGAAATATTTCTAAATTTTCATAGATTTGTCGATTCCTGAAAAACACAATTTTCTCTCATGGTGTCTTTCAGACATCGGTGCATAGCTCAAAAACTGGAAATTTTCGAAAAATTCTGTAAATGCAAACTTTTCAATCTAGGTCTGTTCTACACTTCACAATAATTCCAAAGTGATGGTACATTTAATAGCCGAGCTTTAGACTCTTGAAAATAGACAAAACTCCACTGAAAAATCCCTTTTTTTCAAATTCTTATTGACCGGTACTATATATTAGGGTTACTGTAAAAAGAAACTTTTTTAAATTCAATAGTCTTTTGAAGAAATTTAGAAACCTGACCTCTAAAATTTTTTAAAATTTGATCTACCCTCACCCTTTATATTTCAGGGAAGCTGCCTTCGAACAATGCTCAATCCATACGTCTACATTCTCAATCCAATCTTCTACGTCGTCATGATCATCACATCCTTCTCCCTATCCGCTCTGATCTACTGTATTGCTCATAACCTAACTCATATGGAGGAGAGACAGCGATCGGTATGCATTCCCATCTCAAATTTCCCATTTATTTCACTTCTTCCAGAAACTTTTCCGCCGCCTCTTCTTCCTTTTCTCCAGCACTCTATGGACCTTTTTCACCTGCCTCCCATATCGCCTTCTTTATCTATTCAGCAGCTTCTGTGGAGAGTATTGCCGCAACAGCGCCTACCACTTTGCCACCACTCTCTTCTTTCGGCTTCTGATCGTTGGGATCATGATCAACCCCGTGATCACGATTTGGACACAAAGGGTGAGTTCTCACGAAAATCTCACGTAGTCATTCATTAGAGTTTCTTTATTTTTAGATTTACCGCCTCCGTCTCATGCGCTTATTCGGCCGAATCCGTGAGAACTCTTCAACCGAGGTGTTGATGGTCAGCAATCATCGTGCCCCAGAAAGACAACCAGAGCATACTCCACTTCGATGTGATATGTAAAGCATCAAAACCTTCTCTCATATGTATAGTTCCTTTGAATTTTGCTGATATAAATTCACCAACGGTTTCTCCTCTCCTTTCTTCGCCCCAAAATAGTTCGCCAAATTTCTGTCCAGCCATTCATAATTTATTTTTCAAAAAAAAAAACAAACCTGCTCTCGGTGAACTTTCAAAACATACTGTGTTCTGATGATATGCCTACTGTTTCTTGTATTATATAATGAACTTGATTTCTTGAATTTCCAGTTTCAAATTCATTCGAGCAGAAGTTTAACCAAAATACAACGTGGGGGAGAAGATAACCATCAAAAATGGAAACAACTTTGAGAAGATCATAACTGGAAAGTACAATTATTGCAACTGGTGTTCCTATTATAGGAAATCGATGATATTTTCAAGAAGCATGAAATATGGGTCATATGATAACCATTCGAGGTTTGAGAAACAGGTCATTGGGGATCTTGATTGGAGAGAGATTGAATTTCTCTTGAGTTTTGAGTTGCCAAGGCTACTGGGATATACCGAGAAGAGTGAAGTTCGATGGGTTTGAGAATCTTGGGAAAAATGTAAAAATCATTGAGGGACGATGATCATGGAGAAACGGGGCAAGAGCAAATCAGATCTTGATTTGGTTGGAGAAACAAAATAACAAACAGGTAGCATTGAACACTAGAGCACAGTAACTAAATGACAAGTTGAGGAAGTTAAAATTTAGATTGGTTATCAAGAATGTAGGATGGTGGTTCAGGCCATAAGTTTGAAATTGAAACTGAGAAGAAGAGCTGTGTTTGTGGAAAGCATGCAGGCACAAGCAGTGGAAAAGCTTGAAGCCACAGAAAAGGGAGCAGGTACAAGCAAGTAGGCGATGTGTTCAAAAATATTAGAAATCCGAGAAATACAGTGTCGACATTGAGCAAATTAGGTGTGTGGGATGAAGAGCAGTGGTTGGGTCCAACTGGAATTACAGACAATGTGAAGGTAATCTACATTACAACACCACTTTTGATGGAAAAAGCGAGTGAAAAAAAGTGAGCGGATCATAATGAGTCAAATGTCAAATGTTTGGAATCCAATGAAAATTCTGAAAATGGAAAGATGCGATGAGTACAAAAAACCAGGCAAATCAGATCAAATTCGGGTTGAGATGACCGGAAGGCATCAAAATAAAGCAGTTACAGACAAACAGGCGATGTGTGGAAAAGCAAAGCGTGCAAGCTATTTTGAAATTTGCTACAATATTTGGATGTTAGTCAGATTAGATAGAATGAAACAGCAACTGTATGTATTACAAGTAAGAGTCAGATGTAAGTAGATAGTGCCAGAAATTGCAGGCAAATGTGTGGAAAATCGAAACGCGCGAGGCTAGATGTTTAAATTAGGGCCAATCAGATCATGGAAAAAACGAGCAAATACAGAAAGTGTGGGGAAAGCAAAGAATTTGGCGTGGTCGATTTGATAGATTAAAGCAGCAATAGTTTCGGTTACAAGTGAGAATCAGATGAAAGAAGTTTCAGTGATATGAATGACATCTGCATCTGCGAGACATTTCAATAATCACAATTGCTAGCAGAAGTAACGGGAAAAGAGATCAGATGTTGATTTGGTAGCCGAAAATCGTCAAAAAAGCATTTACAGACAAGCAGGTAATGTGTGGAAGAAGCAGAGGGTGCAATTATTTTTGAAAATACTACAATATTTGAATTGATAGAAGGAATGGATCAGGTTGCAATAAATGAGAGTGATATGGATTTTATCTACGGGGAGCTACTGGAATTTCAAACAGAAAATGGTCTTTGTATGAGTAGATGGGTTGAGGGGAAGTGGGAGAGAATTTTGTTTGCTTGATACGGTGAGGATTTAAGATACAGTAAGAAAAATCGGGTGATTTGGTATATGGGGAAACCGGTGAATAGAACAAAAATGGATGGCTCGCAAGGGCTGGTATTCCTGTAGATTCGTTGAATTGGGAGACGTGCTATCATTCTAGATGATGTGTTTCTCAATGGCAGTCTTGACTCTCATGACGAGAGACAGAGCGATTCCAGAGTTGGACTGAAAATTTGGTTTTTAATTGTAATTTTAATTGTAAGCTTTTCAATTAAAAGTGGCAAGACATCAAAAACCAGTTCTTTAGATATTTAGCCTAGAGAGCCCCAAGAGGATTTGAACTTATAAGAAACAGATCAGGGACATAGGGCTGCTACCGGCTGAACTATACACGCCGGCTGCCGACCGATGGATTTCATATCCTCGACTCGATTTTGTCCCCCAAACTGTCCCTCAACCTATTTGATTTCTCCGTACCAAAAAGTGTCTACCGTAATCAGGAGTCGATAATCATCACTACAGAAATCACTTGTAGTCGTTAATGAGCATAACGTCCTAATAATGCACTTCACGTGTCAGCTATGAATCTACCGACTGAACAGCCTGGAAAATTCGATAATGAATCTACCGTAATCACAGCTTTGGAAATTAGTTTTCTACTACAGTAGAACCCACCCAATTACATCTAGAATATTGATTAATTTTCAAAACTACATGGATTTCATATTTGAAAACATGTCTACTCTACTAATTGGACTACTTTACGTTAATAATTTTATAAGTTAGTCCCAATTCCCAACTCACTTGGAAAGCCTGATAATTAGTAGAACGCTGGAGAGAGTTATTGATGAGCACAATGGAAGCAGCAAGCTCCACCAGCTCCTCTGTAATTGCACTTGGACAATTCTCGATCGCCTTGCGAAGAATTACATCAGAGTGATGCAGCAGTTCCTTTAGAATGTTCTGCTTATCCTGTAAATCATAGTTTTCAAAACCATTCTCTTGCATTAATTTCAGTACCTGAACATTCTCCGGAGTAGTCTTCAGAAGATGATGGAACGAATTGCAGAGTTTGATATGACAAAATGTGTTCTTGTCTTCATCTGAAAAACAAGTGTTCAGTCTAATTTTGGCATTCACTTTACGTTGATTCTTGTATCCGCGTCTGTCTTCGCAGACTTGGGTACAAAAAACATTAATCTTCTGACACCGTTCGATGTCTAACTAACCAGAATTGTTGTTCCCCTGAACACCATCATCTTCTGACAATCCAAGCTCGGCGAGTGTCGGAATGGCTCCATTTGGATCGTGACGCATATGATCGGCATGATCTTCCATCTCGTGTCCTGGACTTGGTGGTGGAGAGTCATAAGCGTTGGTATGGAATGGGAGAGGATCGTTGGCTTGGGGTTGATCAGGAAATCGGGGTTCTTGTGGGACGGGCGCCTCAGAGATTGGGTGTGGAGAAATGTTTATACGCTGCGATGGTGATGGTGTGCTGGTTCCAAATGTCAATCCTGGCGGCAGGATTGGGAATCCACGAGCGTCTCGTGGGCGAGTACTGCGGACTTTTCGGATAACTGCCATTGGGTCTAAAAGAAAATTGTTGTGGAATTTTCGGATTTTTAGACTTCGAGAAAATAAACTTTGAAAAATGTTTACAATCTGCATATTCAGAGGCTCCAAAGTTCCAGAACAAAGATTTTATGATTGTCGCAATTTTGGTATCTTTGGAATCAAAGACTATAATTTGTAAAATTCACTGAAAAGGTTATTCCTGCACATCTTTGATCCTTATTCTCTCAGAGCAGTCCCTGTTCAACCGACTCACCGATATTGAGCGGGCCTGGTCCCTGATTGAAGATTCTAATCGACTCGGTTAGCGTCGGTGGGTCCGTTTTTGTATTCACCACTGTTCTGACCTCGATTCGGATACGTGTCTTTGGATGATCAGCGCTTGTCGACACAGCTGGGGTTTTCTCCATAATTTCCTCCCAAACACGGTCGTTATCTGGAAAAAGGACTCTCTGGACTGGTATAAAAAAGAATAAAACATACCGAGTAGCTGGCTTGCTTTCAAAATTCGGTTGACATCATCAAGAGTGTTCCCGTTGCTATCGGCTCCAGCAGAAACCAATTTTTTCTCGACAGACGGTGGAGCTGTGTATTCATCGTTGTGCTCTTCCCGGAGCAAGTGATATACGCATCCCAAGCCATTGCTCACATCCTTCAAGGCAGTCTCCCAAGAAGTCATGGCTGGAATAATATATAATGCATAAATGTTTGTGGGATAAATGAGAGGATGCGGAAGGAAAGCGAAGATGATGTTCTTTTCAACAGCAAAAAATTGTGTAAGGCAGAATAAGATTAGGATATTCACATCCTTAGAACTCCATTAGAGGAAAGTAGGGGTAACAAAGAAAAAAAAATGTCGCCGAGATTGATACACAAGGGTGCAGAACCAAAAAAAAACAACAGGATGAGAAAAGGGCGGGAAAACAAAGAGCACCGGAAACGAGATGGAAGGAGGACACTCTGAGGAGCACTACTCATTTTGGAGGCGAACAAAAAAGAAGGAAAAGGGAAGGAGGGAAACGCAAGAAATGGATGCGGAGTGACGGACGGAAAATTTGCCGACCCGTTTTTTGAGGTTTTTCGTGTTCTTTTTCTCTTTGGGGGCCACGTGAGCGGAACGAAGGAGGAGGGACCATATTAAGGAAGGAAATAATAATAATAAGTTATTTATCAAAATATCACCAACAAATTATCAGTTGACATATTTTTGATATCTCTTACAGAAATTAAGATAATTGAGCTCCAACTGCAAGAATTGGGTGACCCTCTATTAGAGTGGTTACGGTATATTACTTTCCACAGTCCAATTTTTAATTCAAATTTTGAGTTACTACAGTAAGCATCCCTAATGATCCAAGAAAATGACAATTTCAAATTGCTCACTCCTATCTCTTTTTGCTTTTTTTCTTCTATTTGAAGAGGAAGAAATGTTAAGATGACGTGGTGCAATCTGTGTTTTTAAAGTTCGAAAAAGGTCAAATTTGTCTTTTTGGGCATTTTCTATTACCAAAAAATTGATGGGAAAAAATTGAAACATGATGGGAAAAAATTGAAACAAACTCGGGAATGTCGAAAAATTCTGAACATCTGCGATCAAAAAAAATGCTTGGGTTAGAACCCAAAAAAGTTACAGATAAGATTTACCGAAGCCCACTCTTTACGTGACATTGAGCTCAATTATCTCAGTTCCTATAAAAGATATGAAGATTTGTCAATTGATAAAATATTGGCGATATTATGATAAACAATTTATCAGTTGAGATTTTTTCGATATCTTTTGAAGGAGCCGAGGTAATTGAACTCAAAGAGCACGCATAGAGTAGGTTACAACAAGCGAATACGGTGCATAGGCGTATGTATGTGACTACCGTACCCCTTTGAAAGGATTCTTTCGACGTTTTTTAGATAGTCTTCAATTCTACGAGCAAGTCGATGAGCAAATCGAGAAGAAAATATTCTCAGCATACTTGTAATCTGGGCCTTCGACGGGCCTTNNNNGGCCCTGNCNT